AGCAGGTAAGGACACTTGCTGAGCAAGCCTGGCAACTGGCGCTCCATCCTTGGAACCCGCATGAAGATGAAAGGGAATAACTGACTCTACAAAACTGTGCTCTGACCTCCACACATGTCAAGGCACACACCCCACACCTATACACAAAGTAATAACAAAGGTTTAACAATAAAGCAGAGTGCACACATATATCAACCCTTTAAGTGGATGTGCCACTTGGAGACTAAGGCAAAAAGATCAGTTGAACCCAGATTCACAATCAGCATAGGCGATTACAATATAGTATCACCCCTTTCTCTCTGTCTCTGTCTCTCTGTCTGTCTGTCTCTCTCTCTGTGTGTGTGTGTGTGTCTCTCTCTCTCTCTGTCTGTGTGTCTGTCTGTCTGTGTATATTCTCTGATCCATGGCAGTTGCTAGGACTTCAACACTTCAGGCAGGCACTAGAACCACTTTCCTGGGTTTTATTTACAAGACAGAAAGCTATTTCCTCACACAGATACTATTTTATCAGGATAATGGCTGCAAAGCTTTCAGAGAGGTTCACTATACAATTATCACCATAATCGCTCACCTTTTACAAACTAATAGACAGGTGTCTGCTAATTTGTCTTGACCCTTAACTTGGATCTTCAAAACATCGCCAACCCTATTTATAATGAAAATTGTCTGCTATTTGACGTGTCCCATCACTTGTTCCATGCACACAAGTCCAGAAAGTCACTGTTATTATCTTCAGCCCCCAAATTAACATCAGAAACTTTGAAATAACTTCCAGCAAGAACACAGCCATTAAATGCAACCAGTGCAGAGATTCAAGCCACAGCCCTCAGGCTGCCTTGCCTTTCTCAAGGATCATGATTTCTCCAGGTTCCCTCCCCAGTGGTATCTCTTTACCAAGGGAAGAGAAGGATTCTCAGGAGGAGGAAAGGGCATGACTATGCTACACTCACCAACACCCATAGCAAGCATGTCTGCTCAAACATCATGCTAAGAAGTGTTGAGCTGAAGGGTCTGATGTCTGCTCCAGGTCTCCTACCCTGTTTCCCACTAGACAGACAGCACACAACTAGTTCAGGCTATCCAGAAAGAGGATGCCCTCCCCCTTTCATGTCTTTTTCTCAGAACAAAGTTGAATAGTAAGGTGAAACAGCAGAGCAGCCTACCCAAGCAGATTATACGCCCAGACCAGCACTTCAGCGAGCTCAGCACACAACATCCAGGCTGGGGACCCATACATCTCATGATCTAGAAGCCGATCAAACTTGAAGGAAAAGAATAAGTGCTGGACCTAGTAGGTGAGAGCAGGAATCTTTGTTTTGTTTTTGTTTGTTTGTTTTTCAAGACAGGGTTTCTCTGTGTAGCACTGGCTGTCCTGAGACTTGTTCTGTAGACCAGGCTGGCCTCAAACTTACAAAGATCCACCTGACTCTGACTCCCAAGTGCTGGGATTAAAGGTGTGCACCACCACCACCAGCTACAGGCAGAAATCTTGATTCCTACTTTCTGGACAGTGGCAATGATGGTTATTTTTATGTCTCAATGGTGACTGACAATATGACTGGAACCTGGAATGCAGATATTGATCAAATACTAATCTAAATTTCAACTGTGAATGTCTTTGTCAGCCTGTATAGTATAACTGGATTTCACCCAGTCGAAGGTCGTAAGGTGGAAGAAAAGAGAAGGTCCATGAAAAAGATGCATCAGAGGATTCGAGGTCAGCTGTGACATCAACTCTTCCCAGGTGTCTAGTCTGCAGGACGCATTACAAATGATGGAGCTAAAGAACTTCCACAACCACATGAGCCAGTTTCCTAAAATAATCCCTGCATACACACACAGTCAGTATGTATCACTGTGGAAGCCTGGTGTGTGTGTGTGCGTGCATGTGTGTGTGTGTGTGTGTGTGTGTGTGTGTGTGTGTGCATCCTCCTTTGGGGCTTTGGTTCTATGTGGGTACAGAATGACAACAACACCAGGGGAAGACCCTGGCTGAGGGTTTAACTATCTATCGACATTTGACCTAAGAACTTCTCACTGCCCTAGAGATTACCAAGTTAGCTAGTCTGGCTGGCTAGTAAGACTGAGGAATCCCCTTGCATCTCACCATGGCTGGATTTCAAGTGTATGCCACCACAACCAGCTCTGTAAGTCAGGGTCTAGGCACTGAGCTCAGATCCTCAAGCTCACGGGGCACTTCCTCACAGTGCATGGCCCCAGCTCCCAGGCCATATACACATCTTGGTGCAGGACTTGAGCAACATGCCAGAGGGGAAATCAAAAGCATGGGGAGTCAGCCTGCTTTCTAGCCATACACGAAACAGTTTGACACTGGTTCCCTGCAGAGAGGCAGGACCTCCTTAACCACAGAGTTGGCATTTTGCCTGATTGTCAAGCTGGCTCCTGGGGGATAGGTGGCACTTCTACCACCGCTGTAACAATGCAGGATGAACACAAAGGTGACATCAGAACAAGAGCTGAAGCAAAGGCAGGGACAAGCCTTCACAGACCTCTGTCCCAGCTAGGAAATGCAATGTCAGTGGAGCCACCAAAGGCTCCCTAACAAGTGAGGAGGACACCCCAAATTCTACTCCACATTCCGTCTTCACAGAAACAGGAGGAGAGTGGAAACTTTGATTTGTACCTGTAAATTTAAAGGTTGTTGACACTATATTTTAAAAGTTAATATTATGTTGTTTATTTCTAAAATCTGGAGGAATGTGTCCATAACAAGAACATAAGGACAAAGGTGAAAGTCCCGGGAGAGCCCTGAGGACTACTGCCAACTGCAAAGCTCAGGAGCTAAAAAGATTCCCAGTCTCTTCCCTCTAGTGAGCTCACAGCTGTCTAAGTCAGTGTTGACAAGGACTAAAAGACACTTTATGCTTACGCTATGAAACTGTGTTCTCAGTTCCCTCCTATAACTCAGGAATTCAGACATTGCTGTGTCTAGCCCTGATACCAGAAGCCAGGGGCCATCGTTAATCTGATGGCAAAGCAGCCTTCCTTCAGGTTCCATGAGCCTGCAGGCACCAGGGCCAGGCAGTGAAGAGGTGGAGAGTAGGGCTAGAGCAGGAGTCCCGACCTCTCAGGAGGATCAGAGCTTGGGAAGAAAGCTGCTATGCAGCTTTGGAAAGTACATCAACACACACGCTTATGGAGCATCACGTGAGTATTCATTACGTACCTACACGTGTGTAATTTGCAATGCCAAAATCAGTGGAAAAGACCGGATGCTAGGAACAGTGTCTCGCTATAAAGCTCAGGTTAGCTTTGAACTAACAAACTTTTGGCCCTAGTTTTGAGTGTAAGGCTGTCTTCATGGTGTTGGCACACTGTGGCTGGTGCTCCTTGATAATTGTGGCTAAAAGGAGAGAACCGCAGGACGCCATAAGCAGCAACAGGGCAGCTGATGTGTGCCCACTACTGAGCTCAGCCCTGAGCATCCGCAATGTGAGAGGATGCGTTGGAGAGCGCGCGGCTGCCACTACTTGTCATCTCACTGCAAGTCAGTGCCTGCTGAAAAGGCTTACAGCAGCTCTGCTTCAGAGCACTCAGGCTGCCGTGGAAGAAAGGGAACTCCTGCTGCAATCTGTACACCACAGGCTCTGCTTGTGCGTTTGGGGAAAGTGCTCCCAAACTCCTGGCTCAGAAATGCATCTCAGAGTGCTGTGCTTTCTAAAAGCAAGCCCAAGGGCTGGGGCAATGGTGCAGCTGGAAAAGTGCCTGCCATGCACGCACGAGGATCTGGCATCCCCAGCAGCTGTGTCAAAAAAAACCTGGCACCATGATATATGCTTGTAACCCAGGTTCAGTGAGATACCATGACTCTAATAATAAACACCATAGAGGTTGGCCTCTGGCCTCCATATGCAAATGCTGTAGGTCCATAAACATAGGAGGATACTAGCTGGAAAGACAGGGATTTCAGGAGTGAGAGGGTAAGAGAGAGGAGCAAGAGTGAATACGATCCCGACACATTGCACATATGCATAAAACTGTCAAAGTTAAAATATTAAATAAAACCAACAGCCAAGCATTACCTATTGGCTATTCACATCAACTCAAGTGGCAGGGAAGCCTGTCCCTGTAATGGGCAGATACTCCCTGAGTAAACTTTGTAAATTCTCAAGGCAAGTTTCCATTCAGGCCATAAGTTTCTTTCCTTAATGACCCTAATGGCTTTAAGGGCCATTCATTCCCAATGCTATAGTAGAAGAGTAGCTGGGCCCCACCCCCCACCCCCAAAAAAAAAAACCTCACCCAATCCCTGAGCTTGAGCTTCCAAGATCAGGCCACATAATTCCTGCAATCCCATGTAACCTGGAAACTCCCCCCTCCCTGCAAGAAACCCAATATAAACCCTATGTTCTGCTCAGTTCTCTGCTGTTTCTCGCCTGAACAGAGGCAGCCACCCTCCTGGTTCTTTCCCTCCCAATAAATCTCATGTGTGCTGTTTGTTGTGCGCTGTGACTTTGTGGTATTCCTTGGCTCCCGACTACCAGGATGCATCTCCATCCGAGCTGTACCATTTACATTACCCAGTACCTGTCCTGTGCCAATCCTTACGCTACTATACCTCGTGCCTCGCAAAGCAGGTATGCCAACTACTCCTTTTACATATGAGAAAACTGATAGGGACATTAAAAAACTACAAGAGGGGTCGGATTGCAGCCCGGCAACTCTTAAGTCCCGGGAGGTCTGGTTCTTCACCCTGCCTACTCTCTGCTGCTTACATCCCTGGTCTCATGCGAATCAGCCATTCCAGAAGGCTCACAATAATCCACCTAAAGTCCATAAAAGTGCCCAAATCATACAACTGTTGCTAAGTCTAGTGAGCCGTAGTTTTCATTTAGCAAAAATACACAGCAGGGTTTTCTGTCTCACTCTGTTTTCTGGAACCCCACCAGCACCGTTTTTCTACTCAGTGGAGTATGTGTTCATCCACTCCTGGAGCCTGCCCATCCAATAGTCGGTCCCTCCCCCATGCTCCACCTCACCTTCTGCTGTTTGACCTTCTCTTTTCAGCATCTGGACAGCTCCTACATATTTCTTCAGCTGGACTTTGAGCACCTCGTTTTCTCTGCAGGTATAAGAATGTTTAAAAAAAAAAAAAACAAATTTAAAAACTGACACTTTCCACCCTAAGCAGGGGAGGGATCTGTGTGAGGAAAAGACACAGCTGTGTCTTGTCGATGCTAATGTGCTGTCCTGTATCACAGCACTGAAAATGACGGGGCATACTTCTAGGGCTTTCTTTTGGGAATGTTGGTGAATGCCAACTGGTCCCTGTGCCTACAGACTTGGAATGCAAGCATATGCTATGTGAACCCACCAAACTACCAGGTGCCATTCTGGGTCAGGCCCTTGATAGTGTTTTTTCCAATGGCAGGCACACACTACACTCAATTCACCTGCACCAACTACTATGTGTTGCATGACTTGCGTAATGCTAAGTGTTTATATATGATCCCAGGAACTAGCACAACTTCTACTTTGGGACACCACGGGGAAAACCATGACCAAATCCATCCCCAACCCCATTGTCTTACAATGTAGACACACACTGGGCTATAACCACAGCCTACTTCCCAAATCCATTCCCCATGTACACTGGCTGGTCATGTGACATGAAGCTCCAGAAAAAGAACCTGACATTTCATTACCATATAGCTTAGCCCTTGAACATGTCAGCTCACCAAATCACACATGCATGCATACATCCATTATATCTATCACATATATCACATAGTTTGGACCCATATAAGCTCACTGAACCACATACAAGCACTTTCTTCCACCCAACATTTGTGGAAAAATCACAATGGACCTGGACCTGTCGCAGTCTCCCAGTTCGGTAAGAGAGGAGTTTTGACAGATAATGTCTCTGAACAAGATCGCCAGTAACCCCCAGGTCTCTCTGTCTCAAGACAGACTTTCCTGTGTCCTTCTAGAGACCAAGGTTTAGTCTCTCACCAGCTATACCACAAGAGGCTCCTTGCCCACATTCTATTTCTCCCTTTCAATTCCCACCCCAGGTCTCCAGTGCATTGTTAAACACACTCAAATGTTCTGTCTTCACAATAAAAAGGGCTCAAACCAGATTTCTTCTATGACTATACAAATAAAGACTCACTGCAAAATATCCCAACAGTTAGAACACATTTAAGAAGGGGCACTTAGATGAAAACACAGCACCTTGAAAGAAAGCCCATCAACACTCTCCTCTCTCCTGTCACACTCGGGGCATGTGCTTTAACATTTTTGGCTAGAAGGAAATCATGTTCCTTGTCATTTTCTCCAGCTCTCCCTGCTCCAGGGAAAATGGCAAACCTGGTGTGCACTGCCATGCCCTACAGCATGCACAGCTAACCACTACAAACCACGCACATTCCTACAGAGTCCAGCGTATGGTGCAGGACCACAGTGTACACTTTCTGCAACCAAGCTGTTTTCTTCAACTGCACCACAGCAAGCACTAACTCAGACTATTGACAGAAATAGGTTCCTTGGTATAATGCTATACACATATTTAGCTGTGTGTTTCCAGTGCCCCACATCACAATGCAGTCTATAAAGACAGCACTTCCCTTTGGGGACAGAGAACATAAGGGTCAAATCCAGGAAGCACCAGGTGCTTAGGAATTGCCATGGTGAACATATCAGCTCACTGGATGGATATCTTCGGCAGCTGACAGTTTAATCCAACCGGCTTTGCCCTGGTGGGAAATTAACACTTTCACACCTCTGGGGCCTGAAAAATCTCAAGTGAGAATGTGTTCTTACTTTTTTTGGAAAGGATAAAGGCCTGGTGTGCTGGCCAGGGGCTGCTGGCCACTGATCCCTAGGAACAACCAAACTGAGTTATTGTTTTAAATTTTTATTTTGAAATAGCTAAAGATTTGCAGAAAGTTAGAAGACAGCAAGAGGCCCTGCACAGCCTTGGCCCAACTTTTCCCAGTGGTACACCTTACATAGCCACAGGGAAGATGCCATCACACCCAGATACCCACTAGGAACACAGTGTATGATGAGACCATCTTCATTATTCTAACTAGCCTTGAACATGAGGTGAGCCCTGAGCCTTTGCCTCCTGAGTATTGGAACCACACACGCAGCTCATAGTGTGACTCTGAAGAGAGACAGAGACTTCAGTGACCATAGCAGTCAGATAGGTTGTGCCAGTAAAAGAAGCCAGGTAGGTATTAGGGACTCAGGGAAGGTGGCAATCAAAGGAGTTCTTGCCACTGATGTCCTCCACAGGCCTGGCTCTATTGAGAGGTAGTGGAAATTAGCATCTAGGGCAGTGGTTCTCAACTGTCCTAACGTTGGGATCCTTTAATATAGTTCCTCGTGTGTGGTGTCCCCAACCCCAAAATTATTTAACCACTACTTCATAACTGTAATCTTACTACAGTTATGAATTATAATGTAAATATATGATATGCAATCCCTGTAAAAAGTTCATTCAACCACCAAGGGGTAGAGATCCACAGTAGAGACCCATTGACCTAGCAGGTCTTCATCACTAGCTGAGTGCCCTTGAAGGAGACAGTGGGACCTGGCAGCCCCACCCCATCTGTCCTCCTCCTCTTCTCTGGCCCTACAGTGACCGACTTTGCCCCACCAGGGAATGATTCCTCACTACAGATTCAAAAGCAGCCAAAAAACCACGGACTAAAGCCTAACAGAACTGTGAGACCGAACACCTTTTTCTCTTCTTTGCTGACTGTCTCGGCTTTTTGTGACAGTCACAGAAATCTGGCTCATTTAAAAGGTGCCTTTTCTGCTTTTTCTTTCTTCTTTTAAGCTTCACATATCACTAGCCCAGGAAAACAATTCTCATAGTTTGGACAACTAATTAGCAAAAAATTTTTTAAAAACTGAATAATTTAAAATTTTTATAGCATTTAATTGTTTACTTGTGTGTTTGTAGATGTGTGAAGGCACACACCGACATTGGACATCACCAGCTACTCCCTGAGCTATCGTGTCCGTCATAAGGAGGGCCTTACCTTGTAGTCAGAGAAGTCATTTAGAATGCATATTCTGCTCACTACATAATCCATATTACGATTATAATATATTAATACCTGACACTTGACTGCCAGTGGTACTGAAGTGCATTAATGCCAGCCATCCTGGGGTTCGAATCTCAGCTCCTGTTCTGACCAGCTCTCAAATGGTGACAGTGACCTTAGCTCCTGCTCTTACCAGTTCTCAGACCCTTAGCTTAGCAGTGACAGCAACCTCAGCTCCTGCTCTCAGACACTTAGCAATGACAGTGACAACAGCTCTCCCCCATTTTCACTTGTCGCTCACTGGCTGTCAAGTGATAATTCAAGTGGTTCATAAATGTCTCACCCTGTTAACAACTGTAATATTTGCTTCCTGGGGGTCAACTGGACTTCTTCACTCCCTCTAGTGGCAGAAGTGTCACGTGTCACTTCTGGGATCAATTACAAGAAGACTACAACAGTATCTTTCTCTAAAAGGTTCCCATCTCTTATTCCCAGCCAGCATGTGAGAAGCCACAGAGCAGAAAAGAGGCCGCCTGGCAGCTTCGTGAGTGAGCCTGGAAGAACACCTTACAGCCCCATCAAGCCTTGAGTAGTGAGTAGAACTCCAACCAACACTCTGGTTAACCTCACATGACCCTGGCTAGAAGGACCAGCTAAGCCCTCCCCAGGCTCTGACCCTCTGAAACGATGAGGAATTGGGAAAGGCAGTACCTAGATTGAACCTAGGATCTCAGATGCCAGGTGAGCATGTTACCGCTAAGCACAAGCTACAGTGCCAGCCTAATTAACTAAATTTAAACTGATCCAAACAACTTTGTGCATTCATTCACTTTATCCCTATGGTAATCCTATGAGGCATTTTTACTCCTGATACTGAGCCTAGGAGCGGAATATAGGAAACAGAGGTAAGACTTTCAGAGGTCAAATAGCTTGCCCAAGGAGGCTGAAGAGATGGCTCAGAGGTTAAGAGTACTGGCTGCTCTTCCACAGGTCCTGCATTCAATTCCCAGCAACCACATGGTGGCTCACAACCATCTATAATGAGATCTGGTGCCCTCTTCTGGCCTGCTGGAATACATGCAGACAAAACACCATATATATATAATAAATAAATAAAAGTCTTTTTTAAAAAATAGCTTGCCCAAGGTAATAAACTTTCTCTGACCTCCACCCTTCGTTAAAATGAAGGTCAAAGCCCTATTTACATCCAGCTGAGCACAGCGGAGGCCCTCTCTGCACCTCACTTCACTTCCCTAAATAGCAGAACTCAAGCTCTGAGGATTGGCACAGCGTGCACAATTCTTCCAACATCCACTTCTCTGGACTTCACACGGGTGCTGAGCATCATCATACACATGATGTATGGGCACAGGACAGAATCACAGAGGTGGGATTCACAAAAGAGCTGTAACTTTACAGGTCAGCAAACAGGTAGCGGAGTTCCAGACCACACCGTATCTTATAAAAATGAAGGGGGGTGGGAAGGAGGGAACAGGGTGGTGGAATGTTTTATAGAGGGTCTACAGGGCTGTTCTGAAGCTGACAAACCTGAAGGAGGTTTAACATTCCTGCTTCCAGAATCAGGATGAAGGACAGGGTGCAAGTAAGTCACCTGTACAGCTGTTAAAATGCAAATTTGATTCAGAGCAAGGGAGCAGAGCCTGGAAACCTGCATTTTTAAGTGTTCCATGCAGGCTGCTAGACCCAAGACTAGACCAGAGGGAAGGGCTGGGAAAGCCCCAGGAAGCTGGAGAGACTAGAACCAGGCACAAGTCATGAATACCCCTGAGCCAGGGCAAGGACCGAGAGCACCCAAGGAAGGAATGGTGTGAGGGGGACACAGGGGCCTTCTAGAAGGCAACCATTGCAGTCAACCAGCCAAGAAATGATGGTGGTCAGGACTGGAAGGCCTGGCAAGTAGCCACAGAGGAGGAGAGAAATCCACAGCATTTCTACAGGAGTCCAGGCTGCCAGCCCTGATCCGCCTGCTGGCCACCCTGCAGTTTCCTTTGAAAGCTCAGGGAAGATGTAAATCATGGAGTAGGTGGCAGCAAGTGCTTCT